GGGGGGGGAGAGAGAGAAGGTATTCTGCTATCTTTCATCCAAACAGGGAGGATGGCTAATGTTGGATATATGTATTACAGAATAATTCTGTTTGTCCAAAAGGAGTTCCAAGCGTACAAACCTAATTTTCTATTTATATTTTGAGTTCTTTGAGAGTATATGCATGCCTTAGGGCAAAAATCAATTTCACAGTCCTGTTCACGATTCTCAAATCCTCATTCAGCAATGTGTGTCAGTAAACCTGCTCACGAAGACATGGAATGATAAAGACCTTCACCACCTTTAGCTTTTTTGGGGGGGAGGGGGCGGAGAAGGAGAATTATATTTCATGGAGTAAGTCATAAGTGAGTATGTGCTAAAAATTGGAAATTAAACTAAGTTTTGTTGATATTTTTAAAGTCTTTAAAACAATTCTTCCTGAATTTTGGTTTAGGAAGAATAATAAATCAGATGATAATTTCTAGTCTCTTAGAAAAGGTTTATTTTTAATGTGCAAGGTTATCATACAAACATGCCTATTCCAGTAAGAATACTTGAACTCCAATATCATTGACTCAAAATAAATGGTAAAAAGATGAGAGAACAAAAGAACAGATTTTTAACAGAACTGAAATAGCCACGGAGTGATATTAAAATTAAGGAAAATTAGATGAACATGGTTAGATAAATGTTTGGTTTTATGCACTTTGTAAGTATCACTTAACAACTTGCTCAGGCTCACGTGTAATAATAATTCAGTCACATCATGTGTAGCCAATGTACTTATAGTACACATTTTCTGGAAGGGCTAGACATTTTTAAATCTGCAGGTCCAGATGCCCTCCAACCAAGGTGTTGAGGAAGCTGGCAGGGGTTGTTGTGGAGCCCTTGGCCCGGCTGTATGAGCATTCATGGTCATCTGGCCAGGTGCCGGGGGATTGGAAACTGGCTAATGTGGTCCCGATTTTCAAGAAAGGGAGGAAGGCGGACCCAAGTAACTACAGGCCTGTAAGCCTCACCTCGGTGCTTGGGAAGATCTTGGAGAGAATCATCAAGGGGCACATCTGTGGGGGCCTGCAGGGAAGATCATGCTCAGGGGCAATCAGCTTGGGTTCATCAAAGGCAGGTCCTGCCAGACCAACTTGACTGTCTTTTATGACCAAGTAACTAAATCCGTGGACGCAGTCTTTCTAGACTTTAAGAAGGCCTTTGACACTGTCTCTCACCCCATCCTCATCTATAAATTAAGCGACTGTGGCATTGATGCCTACACAGTTGGATGGGTAAAAAATTGGCTGATGGGGCGTACCCAGAGAGTAGTGGTGGACGGGCTGTGCTCAACCTGGTGAGATGTGAGCAGTGGGGTACCCCAGGGCTCGGTCCTCAGGCTCACACTGTTTAACATCTTCATCAGCAACTTGGACGAGGGGGTGGAAAGCACGCTGTCCAAGTTTGCTGATGACACTAAGATGTGGGGCGAGGTGGACACACTTGAAGGGAGAGAGAGGCTGCAACTAGATTTAGGCAGACTACAAAAATGGGCAGATGAGAATAGGATGGGGTTCAATGTAGACAAATGCAGGGTGCTGCACCTTGGGAGAAGGAATCCACAGCATACATACAGGCTGGGGAGTTCCCTTCTTGAAATCACAGAGACGGAAAAGGATCTTGGAATCATTAACTCCAAGATGAACATGAGCCGCCAATGCCAGACTGCAGCCAGCAAGGCCAGCCATACCTTATCATGCATCCAAAGGTGCATCTCAAGCCCGTCCAGAGAAGTGATACTCCCCCTCTATGCGACTTTGGTCAGGCCGCAGTTGGAGTACTGCGTCCAGTACTGGGCACTGCACTTCAAAAGGGATGTGGCCAGCCTGGAGAGGGTTCAGAGGAGGGCTACCCGCTTGGTGAGAGGGCAGCAGGACAGGCCCTACGAGGAGAGACTGAAGGATCTGAACCTGTTCAGCCTCAGCAAGAGGAGGCTGAGGGGGGACCTGGTGGCTGCCTACACGCTCATCAGGGGAGATCAACAGCAAATAGGCAGAGCCCTTTTCTCCCCAGCACCACCTGGGGTGACAAGGAACAATGGTAATAAGCTGGTGGAGAATAGGTTTAGGTTAGAGATCAGAAGGCAATATTTTACAGTTAGGGTGGCCAAAATCTGGGACCAACTTCCCAGGGAAGTGGTCCGCGCCCCTACCTTGGGCAAATTCAAGAGGAGGTTGGATGATCACCTGTCTGGGGTCTTGTGAACCCAGCATTCATTCCTGCCTATGGCAGGGGGTCAGGCTACATGATCTGTTCAGGTCCCTCCTGACCCTAGGTACTATGAAACTATAATACAAACCACATTGTGAACTGCATGTTTTAAAAGCAAATTAGAAATATAACAAAGGTCCAAGTACAACGCAGCAGAATTAATGGTGCTACTAAAACTTTGGTTTTCATTTACTTATATTTAAATTTGTATTCTTCATGTTGTATTATGTTTCCCTTCTCCTCCCCTTCTTAGTTTCCCAGAGCTTTTTGCTTGTTCACTTAAGAACAAATACAATATATGAACCTTCTAAATCTCTTCCTTCCAAACCATTCAACGAGGGAAGGTTAACAGGCTTTGCAATATCTGGCAGCAAAGCTTGCAGATAACAAAAACCAACAGCTTCAAATGCATTTAAAAACTATTAATGCACTGACAGTGGTTTCTCTGGATGCATACACATGCAGGATGCCAGCCTGCACAGATATGGGCAAAGTCCCTATTCATTCAGGGCACAAAAAGTACCACTGCACAGTAGGTACACTGACACAGGATTGTGGCTCTACTCAATATAAAATTTTCAAATAATATCCCTCTGATAGATTTGAAAAAAAATAAAGTGAAAAGCACCAATGCTCATTAAGAAATATGTACAGGCCAAGTTTAAAAAGTAGGCTAAAGCAAAAATGGCTTAAAATTACAGTTAGAATTTTACAAAGTATTTTCATCTTTGACCAACTAAAAACTGCTAATAGAATCACATGGAAGGGACCTCAGGGGTGACAGGATTTTACTTATACATTAAAAAAAGCCTTTAGTAGAGAGCAATCAGGTAAGATTTTACATTAAACAATCCTATTCTTAGACAAAAATCCACCACACGAGTTTTGGCAAATCATTTAACCTCATAGTACTTCAGTTTTCATAGCCTTAAAACAGCTCAGATTGATCCTCTAATAGGAATGCTACAATGAATACATTAAAGACAAAATATTTCCTTTTTCTATCTCGGTTGAACTACCTCACTATTCTGGCTCCTTAATATTTTTGGTATTAACTCTAGAAAGATATTAATAATAATAATAATTGTAGTGCTGTGAAATTAAATATTGTAGAAAGCTACCAACAATGCACAAATTACAATTATGCCTTGACAGTATTTAAAAAAAAAAAACAACAAACAAAAAGAAAACCAACCCAAAAACTAAAGAGTGGATTTGTTACAATTACTGCTGACACAGGTGTTGTCTGGAACATTGTAACCAGGTGAAAAAAAATTTGAAGATAAATGAGCACCTCTTATTTTAACAGTACAAAAAACTGTGGTTTAAAAGAAGTCACAACTGTAGCAGGAAATATTTTGATTGTTAATAAAAATTTAAGCTGTTTATTATATAGCACAAGTGACAAATGCACTATATTAGCCTAATGCAATATCAAATAGTTAAGTTAGGAGCTTCAGGCAGTTTGTAACCCACATAAAAACAGACTTTTTGTTTCTGTTCCAGAGATCATTTTGCTTAAAATAACAAAAGAATTAGCACATCTACAACAGTTTTCTCAAGTCACAGGCCAAATCCAGCTTGTGGAGCTATGGCACCAAGCCCGCGGGGCTCTCTATGGATCAAGACATTTGG